ATTTGATGCATACACCTCCATCGTTTGATGGTGAAACCCCATCTCCGTTCCAGGAAAAGAAACAACAACCCCAAAAAGAGGCCGAAAAGTTCCAAACCTGAACATGATTCAAAACTCATCTACACCATCCTGTGAGTAGGTGGCTTCTATGATTTTCGGGGGGTACTCTTGGGGTAAACAACCATAGATTTTCCCTCGAAAAATTATCTACAAATAGTGGGATGTCCACATCTATTTGAGTTTCGAGGGGGTACTTTTGGGACTCGGGGTGCGCCAGATAAAGCCACATAACTTAGGGTATTCCCCTGAAATTTAGCCCTGAAACATAGACCTTTGAATTATACATATAGGATGGTCGGTACTTCCAATAGGTCGGTTTCCGAAATTCCATTCTAATCCCATTCAAGTCCACTAAAGTCCATGGAAAAGTCCCATAAAAAAAATCTTTTCCAGTAAATCCCATGATGTTGCTATTAGAAAGTCCATAAAATTCCATTCCAATCCCATTACATCACCACGTTTGGTTCCCGAAATGGCCACTGATCGGCTAGGGGATTGGATCATTTCAGGCCCCGGCTGCCACGGCGGGTGGAGCTGCTGGTGCTGCTGGTGCCGAGCTCAGGTGACGGCTGAAATCGATGAAAAAATATCTGATCTATAGGGATTTAATGGGAATGTCATGCAGACATATGTGAATATATATATATATACATATATATATATATGTTTTTAAAAAATATAAGTTTTATATCAACTACATCTGGATAATTATTGTAGCATATGTTCATTCAGCTTAGACACAGCGTTTGTTTAGCGCGTTAGCAAGTCGCGTAAAAAACAAGACATCGCCGAGCGGGCGAAAAAAGGACGTGCAGCTGCGATATTGGGCGCGCTGTCTTGTTGTGTGGCCCGGCTTCGAAAACAATAGGACGGACAAGGTATTTTATTTTTTTTCTCGCCACAAAGAATCCAATTCCTCAATATGCTTTGGGTTTTGCCGCGCTTACCCAGAATTTGCGGTGGTAGCGAAGGGGGTGGTTCTTCACTTTTTCATGCTGGCACGATTCCAGCAGCGCCTTCCAATGGCGACGGTGACCCACTCAGCCAAAAACGGTCTCGGCGACTCACGCAGATGGAGCGAGATGCTGGACCAAGACCTCAGCATTGCCGCTGTCATCTTTGATGCATAAGATGTTGTAAGGGTCAAGCCGCGTTGGCTTACATGGGATGGTCATGGCCAGCCACAAGAATGGTGAAATGGACATCGCACGGGCCTTGCTCCTGAGTGGAATTTCTCAAACTTACGCACAAAGCCATGCAAGTATCAAGATACCACATCCTGCGCCGGGAAAGCAGGACGCTGTTTCACACCATATGATTGCACCATTGATCCAAGCAGAAAAATTGGTTTAACAAATCCATGGCTTCGCTCTGGCCAGGGATCAATCCCATGAAGGCGTCTGACTTGTGAGATGAGTATGGAAAAGGAGTTCGAGAGCTCCCCGACCCCACCTGGTGCAGTTCTACCTGTGGCCAATTCGAGACAGTTTGAAGGCATTCCCCTTTTGAACATGGCCGCGTTCTTTTCAGGCAGGGGAACCATGCCATGACTCCAAGCAACAAATGATAGCACAAGTTCCATCCATGAGACACCTGGGTCACCAGTGCTGATCTCCGGTGACTGTGGCCACTCCACCAGTTTCATCCATTTAACTACCAAGGCACAAAACGAGGCCCCCACCCATGAGTTGTGCCCTTCTAGTCATGGAATTCATAGCGGCAAAATTCGAAGATGCGGCCCTGCAATTCCACATGGTGCTCCCTCCCTGACATTCCAGATTCCATGGCATCAAGAGTAGCAAAATCCACTACTTCAGAAAAAGGGCATGTAGTGGGTATGTAATTAATGGTGAACCCCAAAAAATGATTTTGGTATGTCCAAACATTGTGTAAATGTACCTAAACAATGAATCCCCCATCTAACCCTCTGGTAATCCAACATGGCCTTGGAAAATATACCATTTCTAGTTGATGTTCGTTCCAAAACCTCCATTTTAAGGGGTTTTCCAGCCACAGCATGGGTTTCCTGCCATGCTTTCCCTAGAAATCGACTCCGAGGTGGTGACATGGACAATGCATCATTCATCGCCTCGCAGCTTGCCGGAGAAGGGGAGATGGGGAGCATGGGGAGCCAGTTGGGTTCATCCCATCGAGCCCGGTTGTTGGTGAGGTTTGCTTAAAAATACACACATTAAGCAACCTCCATTCTTGCCGGGGATTTCCCAGCTAGCCATGTTAATGAATGGTTGATCAGCCCTTAATCACCATGTTCAATAAGTAAATCAATGTAAATCATCAAACTACATGGGCCAAATGGCCCATTTTCTATAGCAATGTAAAGTTATCATACGCTAACTACCCATAAAGCTATCCATCAAATCCCATTGCATCTCACTATATTGACATCGGATTAAACATATGAAATCCCAAAGAAATCTCCACTTATTGATGATTTTCCCATGATATCCCCATGGGGTACCACCAGATTTTCCATGACTTAGAGGGTCGCGCTGCACGCGGTGCAGGTTGGATCCCATGCTCCGGGAAGAGGTGTTGATGACAGCCCCTGAGGCGCCGGTTATACTTTGAAAATTGGTGGTTGGAAATATTTGTTTGGAACTATATGTTTGGAAATATGTCTGGAAATATGTTTGGGAATATGTTTGGAAATATGTTTGGGAATATATGTTTGGAACTATATGTTTGGAAATATGTTTGGAAATTTATGTCTGGAAATATATGTTTGGAAATATATGTTTGGAAGAATGTTTGGACATATATGTTAAATATGTTTGGAAATATGTTTGGGAATATGTTTGAAAATGTTTGGAAATATATGTTTGGACATATGTTTGGAAATATGTTTGGACATATGTAGCAATATTATTTTTTTTTTTTTGAACTATGTTTTGGAGAATCATTTAGTACCATTAGACAAATGGGAATGTTCCCTTAATTTTGGAATAGTGATACATTTGGAAATGAATCATATGTTTTTATCACAAGTTTTTCTTTCATAATTTGACATAATATTGTCTGTTGAACGCTTGGTGAATGGTTCGTGCGTTTGGATACTGGCGATATTTCACCTACAGAGATGGAGATATCACCTGCAAGGCTGCAACGATGAATGGCATCAGAACAGATTGGTAGATACTGGAATGGTTGGTTGACATTTGCATTTGGAACCAACAAAAAACGGTGAATTTTTGGTGATTCTCTAGCCAACTAGACCAGTGATGAAACCAATCAATAGTCAAACCGAAGAATGGTAGGTTGATGGTTGATGTGCTAAAACAACAACTAGTGCACTAAGGTTCACTAGTTCTCAGGGTGTTTTTTTCGGCATGTCTGGATACACTGAATCGACTGACGCCACACTTACCTGGAGGATCCCACAGCACTCAAATCCACTGGTTCTGCATGTATTCAATATCATATTTTTGGATATATTCAGTGCATTTCCAGACACACCCATCTCATATTGTTGGGTACTCCCACTATATACCATGATATTTCTATATATATATTATATATATATCCCCTGGTTGATGGTTTGGAACATTTTTTTATTTTTCTATACATTGGGAATAATAATCCCAGCTGACTAATATTTGTCAGAGGGGTTGAAACCACCAACTAGTCCTCATGTTGTTGGTTATATCACCATAAATAAGTAAATATAGCAACATTTCCTGGTTTAAGACCTATGTTTCTTCCATTAGCTGGGAATCATCCCCATGATATTCGAATCTTATATTAGATTAATAAATCAATCCTTATATCCCATTATATCCTGCTATATCTATATCCCATCATACGCAACTAGATCGCATCTTATCGCCTAAGACACCATTTTAGCTGCTGAACTTCCCATCTTTGTTCATCATACCCCAGTTGTTGCCGATTCCCACCGGCCTTCCCATGCCACTCCCGGTCCGGCGCCCCACGGTCCAGGAAGTGCTCCAGACGTTACCGGCGGAGTTAGTCGCAGAGGCCCATTTTGCGATGGGTTTTAGTGACTCAAAGGAGATTTAAGGAACAGAAGATGACATCAACACTTAGTCTGGTTGGTGGTTTGGATCATTTTTTATTTTTCCATATATTGGGAAGAATAATTCCAACTGATTAATATTTTTTCAGAGGGGTTGAAACCACCAACGAGTAATGATATTGACTGTTAGTGATTATCAGCATTAAATGATTTAATCAACAGTCATGTATGATTCATTAGTGAGGGATACTGACTATCAACAGGGTCAGTATCAGGCTTGAACAGAATAAACAAAACCATAATTACAGAAGGAGGCATTGGAACAAAAGGACATGGTTTGGATGGATTTGCATTGCAGGTTTGAGTTTCTTAAGTTGTAGCTGGATACAGATTTCAGATGTATCCAAACATGCTAGAAATTAGGTTCACGACTGATTTCCTGAATTCTGTCTTGCAAAATTGACGCATGAGTACGAGGGCCTTGATGAGTTTAAGATTCAAGTTCCTCCCGTTCCTGTTTCAAACCCAATATGGATTAAAATAGGAGTCGAAGCCACAAAAGTTGCTGGTTTTCAGTCTTATACTATGACTATACCCATCTATATAGACCATTTAACTTTCAAGATCATCTATCACTATAAATATATATACCCTTCTAGTCTTAATAGGTTTTAGAGGAGTGATAATTCTGAGCTATAGGCTATACCCATCTAGAGCATTCTAGAGATTTTGTGAGTTCCTCCCTTTCCGCCAGCCACTTTGCTTCAAGCAATCTCGGCGCGGTTTCAACTCTCGGCTTTTTCTGAGGCAAGGCAAAGAACACAGCACACGAATTCAGCTTGATAAAGTTTACATGCAGATCATCCCCAAAATTCATCAAAATTCCAAACCTCAAAAACCTATATTGGCCTGGTGAAATAACGGCATTTTCGGGTCACTCCTTCCGTGTTTCATTTCTGTGGCCGGTGGTCGTCCTCTGGTCACTTTATCTTCCGTCATGGCCCCCGCCATGAAGTGGATGGCGAAAAAGACCACGGAAAGTCACTTGGAGCACAACGGTAGGGAGAAAAGTCGGTAAATGGTCAGGAAAAACACCGGGAATGTTTGCTTGGCTATGGCTAGACCTAAAAAACAAACCAACCTATAACTGGGGGTTTCAAACAAAAACGGGTTATACCGTTATACCCTACGAAAAACTCTCCAAGATGGCATGTTCAAAGGGCAACATGACGATGAACATTCATAAACCATATAGTGATTTGGGGATACCCTATTTTCTGTCAAACCCACATAGATATGGAAAACCAATAGGTGTCCCAGGAACAGAATCTACACATAAGTATTTTCATACCAATTTTCATTTACTCAATGGATTGGTTTAAGGGAAAATTTACAGCAAAGCCCTATATTTATATAATGGGAAAATCTGGTTTCAAACATTTTTTTTATGTTCCTTAATATATGGGATAATCCTTCCCATTGACGAACTCATAGTTTTCAAGATTGTTTTAAAACCACCAACCAGATGGCTATTTATTGATTGACTTGACACCTGTGTGTTCGCGACCTCCGCAATCCTCCCCGCGTGTCCAGATCTTTTTGTTTGCCATGTAGACGAAGGAGTTGGAGAATGACCTAAGTCCCAACATGGCATGATGATGGATGATCACCGGAATTTGCATTTCCTTAGGCCTTAGATTTGGATAACAAATGGGATTATTATCCCAATCGATTCATATATTGCTTGTTCCCATCCCCATGTCGTGTTTGGTCATCCAAGATCCCCCTTACATCCTCCAAATACTGTACCATCACCCCAGCACCCAGTCAAGTGTCACCTTTTGGAAAAGATGTTGTTCAAGTTTCAAGAACTGTTTTTTGGTTTTTGTTCCCTGGTATGAATCTTATAAAACCATATGTGCGATGTTCAAAACTTGGTAAAGTGCGCAGCTCCTGGTGTAGTGTGGTCATCAATTCAAAGGGAATTACCCTAATAGTGGTGAGATGGTTTAGATAAATATGTGTATATAGCCATCATATTCCCATTATATCTACCCATGATATATCCCCAGCACGCCATGACATGTAACTTGACCCACCAGGTGAGGAGAAGCCAGCGAAGGGCAAGGGCAAGTCTAAGAAGGAGACCAACAAAGGCGCGGCGTTGCACGACCTGGGAAAAGCGGAGGGTAAGTTATAACGACCTCACTGTTCTCCCTCACTGGAAATCATGGTTAGATTGCGGGAAATCATCCCCAAATGGCCGCAAGATTCAGGTTAGTGAAATATTATAATTTACCCAGATGAGTTGCTAACAGAATGGAAACTATACCCTCTGGTAACAGATGGGTTCAATCACCATTCGAAGAAGATGTAAATCGTTATGTTTCATTGTTGGCTATGTGAAATTAGCAGAGGGTAAAGGTTTTAGGCCCAGGTTTGGGGTTGAACATGAGCCCAGAAAATAGGTGCTTTGCCTCAATTTATACAATTTCTGGTTGTTCGAGGGCGGAAATCAGTTCTTACAGCACTGGATTTTGATGGTACCTTATTTCAGAACTGATTCAACCAAACAGTTTCTTTTGAGAGTAAAACACCAATCATGATGGGAATATGGCGAGTAATAATGGGATATATTGGGGTATCTATTTATATTTATTTATACTTTCATTATAATGTAAAATATGTATATACAAATATATATATATATATGTAATTATATATATACGTAACTTTTATAACCAATGATATGCTTAGTGGCTCTTGAACAAGTCTTGAAATCGGATGTAATCGGCCAAAATGGGGATGTTCATGGTGAATTTACTCCGTTGAAATGAGGATGATCCACAAAACATTCCGGTTTTGTTCAAAAAAAGAGGATTTAAAACATGATTTGAACACCATGTGCAGAAAGGGTGATATCACATCACTGTGGGTTTGTCCAAGGATTTGGGGATTTCAGCACCAAGCATGGGAGTATCAGACTGACCACAATCGGTATATCATGGACGTGATATACACAACAGGAGGATATGGGTTTGTTAAAAGTGAGGAAAACCCGGGTGATTGGTGATGTTAACGGGGGAATATGATGACCACTTTTGGAGCGCGCTATCTTTCAACAAACCCAGATCATACCAGCGCGAGAGCTGACTTCATATGTCTTCTCACCGAAAGTCTCCATTTGGGGCTAATGTAAACCATTTAGCCATACACCAATCAAACCAAGGTTGATGTTGTCAGGCGGGGTTGATTGAAAATCATATATCCCCCAAATAATTTGATCATATAAGCATTATTAAAATACATCTTTTGAAGTAGCCATGAATTTGGAATTTACCACATTTTCCGACACCCACATGTCCTATGTTTGCTTATTCCATGCCAGTAAATAGCCCATATTTGTTCGTGAACTTCCCAAATTTTGGGTCCAAAACCCAGGTAGG